AGATTCGTTTATAATCATAGTTTAATGCTTGATGCATTATATAGATTTGATTATATTATACTCTTCCACCCGTCATTCTTAATAAACTTTACTATAATTACCCTGGCCAAGTAACTTATTATAATGTTATTAAGCACTCATCAACTCTCCCAAGGACTCATATAATATGGTAACAATATATATATTTATAACGAAAAGATATTATATTGTGTATTTGCAGTGGATGAGGTAAAATCTTCGAAAAAATATCAGGGAGATAAAGATGCACCAGCGTGATCTTTTCGTATCATGATGGCAGGGGCTAGCAATTCAGGTAAAATCAATATGAATTTAAACTTGCTAACAATGCCCAAATTTTATTACATGTTTAAGAAGAGAAAGTGTTCTAAGATAGGGGAACGTAATGTTAAATGCAATGATGTAGTTCTTTTTGGACATCATTTAAATGAGCCAAAATATAAAATAGTTCGAGATTTTTATAAATACCTTGCCCAAGACAAATCAAAGCCCTATTATGAAGATGTCACATTTTCTACACTCTCTCCTGATAAAATCCCAGATCCCAAAAAGTTTAATGCTAAAAGAAGTACATTAGCGATATTTGAAGATCTTTACTCCGACCCTCCAGCTATACAAAAAAAAATTATTCCATTTTTCACCCGAGGTCGTCATGAGAATATTTCCTCAATTTATGTTGCTCAGAAATTCTACAAAATCCCAATAGATATTCGTGAAAATGTCACTCACATTGTTCTCTTTAATGGTGGGGGCTCTATTCGAAAACTTACAGATATTATAAGTTCTTACACTGATGTAGATCCACGAAAAGCTTCAAAAGTTATTTGAGACAAAAAGAGTTTATAGTTATAGATCTGAATAAATTCAGATCTGAGTCTTTCTCACTTCGATGGGACACCCCTCTTGATCTGGAAAAGGAAATCGAGTGATTAAAAGATAATAAACATTCTGCCTAACCAGGGCGATATTTCAGAAGATATAATACTTTAAAATCGGATAAAATAAGGCATAACGATCGAATAATTATTTTTTCGGTTATTTATTTATACAACAATATAAGTACATCCTACTCGCCACTTCTTATATAATTGAGAAGATGCACGTATTCAGCCTAGTGTTGAAATTGAGGTGGATGAAAAACAATAACAAGCATGATCTATTATCTATACTAGGGATTTTTGTGTCCCATAAAACAGGTTAATATGAAAAAATCAAAGTAAAAAATGTTACCAGCCCTCAGGGATAATGAATAAAGTCTAAAGTACTAGCCCTCAGGAATACTTAAGATAATTTTATTTTAAATAGATATATTAATCGAATAAATAGATATGTGTATTTATATTTCTAATTGTTGGAGACAGTTACTAAATCTATATCGCAATTGTTCCTTTTTACGATTTATCCAACCATATGGAATAATATATTCCTAATACATACTAATTTCAAATTCAGCTTTATACGGATATCTATTATATTTTTTTATATACTCAGCATATTCCTTATTAAGACGTGTTTTTAATTGATCTAGGGAATTTGGGTTTTTTATTTTTTGCGGAGTTATGCCTAAAAACTTTTTATCATCTGGAGTATTATCATTCGGTAAGTTATTCCATGCAAGTCGTGCATTTGATGACTCTTTTTCTTGGAATCAGTGAAATGCTCTTTGTATAATTCTTGCGTATCCATCTCGAGATTTAGATTTATCACACTCATGATTCCAATATTTCTGCATCAAATCATCTGGCTCGATAATTTCGATATACCTTTTTCTGGTAAAATGGAATGATTTCTTTGGTTTTACATTATCAATATGTATAAGTTTCATACAATCTAAACATATCGCTACATTGGATTTATGGATTCTAGACCTGTAGTAATCATGATTCATTAGCTTAGAATTCCCAAATTCACCAAATAAACAGTGTACGTGATATACGCTTTTTTTCTTTTCAGAGACTAGCTCTTGTAAAGGAACTCTGATCCGAATAGCCCATTGTTGTGGAGTTTCATCAGGTCAAATAACTGATAAAGTATCATATCGTCTTTCAGTCTCATAAAGATCATCAAAGTATCGTTGATAATCACTAATTCCACAATAATTGTAGATATACGACTTTACATATTTCATATCATATTCAGGACGATTATTAATGAGCTTAATTGATTTAGCTTTTTTATCGATAATAGTTGTAATAATAAGATCTGACATAATTGGTGATTTATATCGTATTTAGGAATTATTGGACCTATTAGATTTAGTTTTATATTGATAGTTAAAACTGGATTCATTTTTAGTGCAGATGTTCGAAGAGTGCCCCATAGGGTCTGAATTATTGGATAAGTTATGTTTATTCGTCATATTTTGTGAGTGATGTATACGATGAGCATATGAAACAGCAATTGCTGATCGGTAATACACACCGTTCCCTTGGGATGATCACCCAGAAAAATTTCTGCTGAAAAGTAGGTAATGTGATACACGCATTGTGCAACTGAATACATTTCTACAAATTTCGTAAACGAATCACTGATCCAGAATTGCTGATCACGGGCTAGCTAAATTTTGATTCCCAATTCATTAGACACAGAGTTCTGCTCCGCAGACTGATAGTTGGTTCATTAACTGTAATATTTGCCCAACATGAATGTTGTTTTGCGTTCGACTTTATAATGAAGCTACGATTTAATGCGACTATATAAGGATCTGTGATATACATAAAAAAAATAAAAAAAATATACACTGTATATTAATTATCATATAGATGCGAGAAATAACTACTATCCCTTTATAGATACTATTTGGATTGAATTTTGATATTTATTTATATAACAATTGAGACGATAAGTTTTTTCGCCACAATATTCACCACTGCCCCAAAAACCCTCTATATAATTTCTAATATTTTCTTTATTATGATTTTTATTACATATAGGACAGAGTATTGATCTATTAAAATCAAAATAATTACTATATTTAAAACTATGTTTTAGAGTTAAATAAGGAAATCGCTCTAATACCATTTTAATAACACGTTGTTGTCTTTCTTCAGGATTGTTTGATAGAACAGAAATTGGAAATTGTCGTTTAGGTGATATAGGTAGAACATTCATCTGCGGTACCCTCACCTGAGTTTCCAACGAACTGTCCTGTAGAATATGATTATCAGCGTTTTCGCTTTGTGGGGATTCAGAAGTTTCAGACTTTATCAAAGGATCGAGTCCAGTCTCTTCCATATATGTTTTATATAATCTAGAACAAATTTTATCTGTCTGAAAACTTGGTAAATCAACTAAATTAGCATATCATTTGCAATAGTCATCAGTTAATATCTTGCTGGAGGTAGTATCAGAAGACATGTTATCGTTTTATATTAATGCAAGTCAATTCAAAATCACGTAGCTGAAAAGAAAAAAAATATCGTTATCCACTTGCCCTGTAAAAAAAAATAAAAAACAAAAATCAGGAAAAAATCCGGTTTTTTAGTTCCGGAAAATCACAGGTT